TCGCGGTCGCCATCAAAGCCGCAGACGCTCCGGAGCGCGGACGCACGGGGGGCCGACAGTCGGGGGGTAGATGGTCGGGGAGTGCCTGGTCGGGAAGTGCCCGGTCGGGAAGTGCGGCCGGAAAAAGAGGTGACGGAGTTCGGGCGGGGGCGAGAGCCGCGGGGCCGCGAGGACTGTGAGCTGAAGGAGAACGTGCCGCCGCGAAAACATCCGCGTGTGGGTTGTCGCCCGCGCTTCGCGGCGCCGGGCGAGCGGCAGGGCGTGTGCGAGTGCTGCGCGGATTGGACCGCCGGAGGTGAGCGCAGGCATCGGAAGTTCAACACGTGTACTACGCCCGAAGGCTACTGGGACTTGGATTTGTTGGAGACGCAAAAAAATCGCAGACGCTGACCGGCGCTGGAGCCACCCGGCGCGCTGCCAGACAGAGCCAAAGAAAGCGGGGGTGCTTAGCCGTTGGCGTTGATGAGTTCGCTGACGGTGCGCGGGTCGAGGCCGGCGACGAGGGGGACGGGGATGTTCTCGAGGAGGAGGTTGCTGTCCCAGACGTAGTGGAAGCGGCCAAATTGGAAGCCGGTGGTGAACTTGCGCTTCTGGTTGGTCTTGTCGTCGAGTTGGACCTGGACGGCGGCGTCGCGACCGCTCCAGCGGGCCATGAACTCGGGGAGCCCGTCGTCGCCAATGCCGCCACCGGCAGTGACAACGTGGCGGTCGGTTTTGCCGACGCCGACGGCAGCGTGGGTGGCGCGCGACTTGGCGTCAGGCAGATCGGCCTCCACATAGTAATGCCACGGGTCGCCGCGGCGGGCGCGGAGCGTGGAAGTCAGCTTTAGTTGGCGGTCGTCGAGGTCGGCCATGCCGCCGAACTGCGTGCCGTTCAGGCCGAGACCGAGTCCGAACTTCTCCTGGCGCAGGTCGGTCCCGACGGCGACGCCGAGGTGCGGACCGGCCTTGATTGCGAGTTCAGTTGCGAGTTTCTTCTTGTCCTCGTACAGGTGCTGATCGAAGTCATGTCGGGCCATGACCTCTACGTCCTTGATCCGGATGCGTGCGCCGTAGTTGCGGTCCAGTAGGTTGCCCATCGCGCCAACCGTCACGTTCGGCGTCTCAACCAACACGCCCGTCGCATCCTGATCGTTCTCGCGCTTCACGTCCACACCGAAGCCCTTCACGAACGTGCCCACGTGGTACTGGTCCAGTTCCAGGTCGTGTCCTGCGTCCACTCGGACCATGTCCTTGTACCTAACGTCCGTCTGCACTGAGCGGTTCTTCACGCCCACCGACTGACTCACGGTCACGCCGTCCTTCTTGCCCACCTTCACCGCCGTGTCGCCCAGTCGGTTGTCCCGCGAAATTGATGCGCCCCACTGGTCCCAGCCCACGTCCGCGCCGAAGCGACCCAGCATCGGGTGCGCCTTGGAACCGTCCATCAGCCCCACGTAGTAGTCGTTGCCCGGCGCGTATGGCATGAGCACCAGAGGGTCGAACTCCTCGTTCGCGTCCATCAATTGCGTCCGGATCTGCGATACGATGCTCTCGTCCGCGTTCAGTTTCTTCAGCCGCTTGTTGATCTCGTCCTGGAACGTGGACAGTCGACGTCGCGGCGGCGGCCAACTTGCGGGATCAATCTGGTCGATTTGATGGAACGCGCGCAGCGGGTCGGTCTGATGGAAAGAGGCGGTGTTCTCGGTGTGTTGGAGGAGGCGTTTGGGCATCTGCCAGTCCCTCCACATGCCGGCTGCCGCGGCGGCGGGCGGCGAGTTCGTGGAGTTGGGTTTTGGTGGTAGCGCGGCGGTCACGCGTCGGCGGAGACGGCGGGGGCCGCAGAGGGAGGCGAGGCTGGGGCTTTGTTGCGGGCTGGCGGCGAAGGTGCAGACGAGTTCGGTTTCGGGCGGATGGGTGGCCGAGAAAGCGAGGTGGCCGATGCCGGTGCTCTTGTGTACGCGGACGTCGATTTTGGAGGAGGTGGGGCAGCTGTCGGCGATGACCTGCATTTCCGCGCCGGTGGTCTTGTTGCGCAGGTTGCAGTCGCGGAGTCGGAGGAAGCCGGCCGCGGGCGGGGCGGAAACCTCGTAGGTGCGCGGATCGGGCCGGATGTCGGGCCGGGTGTCGGGCCGTGCGGCGCGGACGGCGTTCCTTGGCTTGGGTCCGGCAGGCACTGGGTAGGCTGTGAGTTCGAGGGGTGCGTCAGCTGCCTGGACGCGGAAGAGGTGCGGCGCCTTGGGCAGGACCTGGCTGTGGCAGACGCGGCCAGAGCAGCGACAGGATATGATAAAGCCGTGGCCTGCGTCGTCGACGACCTCGTTTGCGTACAGGTGTGAGCCGCCCGAGATGTAGGTGCTCGTCGTGCCGCAGGTGTTGTAGCCGACGGTCGCCAGCCACCCTTTCGGCCCCCGGATCGACGAGCATTCGTCCAGAAAGCCGTCCGCCGAGGCGGTGTACAGCGGCCGCTGCGACGTCACAGAAAACGCGGCCGTAGAACAGCTCAGCTCCACGCCGGAAACATCTTCCAATTGGGTACTTAACTTGACGGCCGGCTGAAGGGCCACTAGGGCGAGGGAAAAATGGGGGAAGGCGATGATTTTTTTCATCACAACACACGTGTGCGCTGCCAATTTCTGCTTGGATTTAGGCCCCGACGGCCTTGGGGGGCAACTGAGAGCTGGGAGCAGCCGCGCTGTTCCTGGTCGCCGCCTGGATCGACCCATCCACAAGTATTCAGGCACATGCGAGGACCCCTAGAAGTGGAAGCACGTGTCAGAACCGTCTGGAGGCGTTAGCTACACCAGCAGCCATGTACATACCTTCGTAACATTATTGCCTCGAGCAGTAGTGCCTCGATCACCAGTGCCGGTTACCCCGAAGTGAAGCGGACCCGTTGTGCTGGCCGCCGCATACACGAATTTGAGTGTAAAGCCGAAGTGGGTTTAAGCCCAGTGAAACACGCAGCAAGTGTCTCAAGTTGTTGTCGTCCGATGACAGGGTCTCTTCACTGCTGAATCGCGATTTTTTCGAGTCCCAGCCGAGTAACGACTTCTTGCTCGGCCGTTTGTATCGTCGCAGGTCGAGTTGCACCCTGTCCACCACACGCCATCATCGGGCACTTAGACCAGAGCGAAGGTACAGCCCTCCGCTCTTGTCCTAGTGACCGCCAACGCCGCGTGGTCGAAGGCCGCAGCGGCACGACAACTACCGAAGCCCAAACCCGAAGCACAAACTCGCTCAGTCTCATCAGCAGCCCATGGGTCCACCGTCTGCAGGGTGACGCGTAATATTGTCTTCACCACCACACCACGACTCTCACACACCCGGGCATCGGCGGACGCCTGCGGTCCCACACGACGCGCTCGGTCGTAATGGTCCACCGCAGGAGCGCCAAAAATGGTCCCAGTGAGCAGTCTTGTAACTGGAGTATGTAAGTGAGTAGGCGGGCGAGTAAGTAGCATTTGCAAAACGGTGGCAGGGCCACGGTAATAATGCGGGGCACAACATGTCGCCCAGGAAGGAGTCCAGGGAGTTCCACCCGGAAGGAGTTCCAAATTAAGTGGGTGCGATTGAGTGCCCGGAATGCCGAAACACTCCTCCTAATGCCGTCGGTATGTCCCGTGCTCCACCCTCTCTCGTTCCCACGTGGCCCAGGTAGACACCTTCTCTCTTCCAAGCGCCCGTTCGAGCTCACCAAAGCCGGTTCGAGCTCACGGACTCACTCAGGCTCATCAGCGACCGCACTCGATCAGCCCCAGAACACCCAGCGCCGGGGTCTCGACCCAATTACCGGTGGGACGCAGTGCGCGCGTCACGGACGGGTGGGGCCGGACACACTGCTTGACTCAGCAGCTGGATCTGAGCCGGAGCGCCACCAGACACTCCTCTGCGGCGCTCAACGTGAGTGTGACAGATCCGCGGCGAACCGGTCACTGCAGTAGAGTCAAATGTCAGCACTGAGGCGGACAGCATCGAGGTGGACTGTACCAACAAAAGTGGTTGGTCTTTTGCGGTCTGAAAAATGAAGGGACGGGGATTATCGGGGACGGCGTTGTGGGAATTGATTGTGGGTGCGGGTCTGGAGTCGCGACCGGCATTGTATAATCTGGTGGACGCAGCGGAGCAAGCATACTCGCGGATCGCCCGGCGTCGCCGCCGTCGCGCGGAGGCGAGCGAGTTGGCTTGGCGCGCGGTGCAGGCGGTTTATTGCCACCGCAACCTGTATACGTGGGCGAAGAGCAAGACCTACGAGGACCAGCCGTGTGCACTCACACACGTCGTTCGCCTAGGCGCACTCTACTTCGCCACCGCCGGCCGCGACGGCATGGTCGATGTCTTCCACTCTTCTACCGCGACCCTCGCCTCTCGCTTCAGGGGCACGCGCTTCATGGCCCCTATTTCCTGTCTGGGCGAGATTGCCTGCCACGACGTCGCCAGCCAACTCCTGCCCCCAACCAAGCGGCCTCCAAACCGGGAAGAGTGTCCTTGTCAAGAAGAATGTGGAAGTCAGGAAGACTGTCCAAGTCAGGAAGACTGTCCAAGTCGGCGGAGTCCTTCAGACCGGGTGGGCAAGCTGCTGAAGGACCTGCCCGGCACCACCTGGGCCCAACGGCTGGGGCTAGCGGACTTGACCATTGGCGTCTGCCCGGGTGAAGCTGACTGCTGCTGCACCAGGCGGTGGCTCTGGGTCGGCGACTGCATGGGACGTGTGCAGGTGTGGGCGTTGTCGGAGGAATGCGCCTTCGCGTGCTCGCGGCCGCGGCATGTGCTGAGCTATGACGCGACCGACGGCGACGGATGTCTGAGTGGTTCGAACAGACCGTATGAAGGTCGCGTTTGCCCCCGAGCCGTACATGCGACAATCCAGCGGGGCCTCTTCGTCGTTGTCTACTCCGACTCCTCTGTCGTCTTCTGTAACCTCCGTACTCTCATCTGGGAACGGCACCAGGCCCCCGGCCAGATGGAGGCCCTCGTCTACGGCGCCGACATCTGGGTCCCCCCAGATTTATTACGAGAAGAAGAACCGCCCCCCGATCCCGACTGCCAGGAATCTGAACCTGAAGAGCCCGGAGTATGGTACCACCCCTTGGGGTCCTGTGGGGACGAGTTCGCCGGGGGGGCGGGCACGGAGTGGAAGCAGACGTCAGAGCGACGCACTGCCAGTGAACAACCGGAACCGGCAATGCTCTTTACGGTTGGGTTCAAGACACGGCGACTGCTCAAGCCGTTTATCAAAGGAAAGAGACCTACCGTCAGAACCACATTCAGCTTGCCGGTGCTCTACTACTACCTCACCTCCAAAATGGAGGTGGCCCCGGTCCATGACTACGTTGCGGAACGGCCCTGTCCGCCTGGTGACTCGACGACGTACGTTTACAGCTTATCCGTGTTTCAGCCGGGAAGTCAGCCAGACAGTCAGCCAGGCAGTTTGACTCAAGAACCACGGGAATCGAACACTGTACGATTCCGTTTTTACACTCCCGGAAGGAGCGTGTATTGCGATTGGGAAGAGTGTGGAATTCACTTGTGTCGCGGCATTACCGTTACACAGTCGGGTTTTTGGCGGACGGCCAACAGTACACCGCAGCCGTTGCCGATGGCCCAGAACAAGTTGGACTTTGCCGCGTACGGTACTTCGGATGCGATCTGGGTGGAGGATCGGTATATGATGACGATAGAGTGTGCGACTGTACGCAAAGGTACGAGTAAAAGTCAGGTAACAGTGTTTGAAGTGAAGAGGCCTTCTTTACAAAAAAGCTCTTTGTGGAAGGGTCGGGAGAGCTCAGGCCAGGACCAGGAGTTGGAATTGGTGCTTACGAGGGAGTTGCCGGGTACGGTCGAGTACTTCGACCATGTGGGTGCGTTGGTGTTGTTAGGTACGGCGGACACGGGTGAGCTGCACATATTGGACATGCGGGAGTTGCGGTTACGATGGCGGCACCGTTGCAAAAACGGGATCGGTTTCACATGTGGTATCCTGACGGCTCGGGGTTGCGTGGCGGGTACGGAGACGGGTCGGTTCGTAGTCTTTGAACCCCGCGGGTTGTTGGATACTAACCGCTACATGTACACTCCACCTATCCAGTTCCTAAACACGAGTGGCTCGCCAGTGGTGTTGGGTGCCACGCGGGTGTGCGTGGCGACGATTTGTGACCAGAGTGGTTTGTCAATGAGTACGGAGTTGGCGCACCTTCATGTGACGCCCTATGTAGCTCGAGCAGACCGTCATTACTATGACGACTTTTGCGCAGTCTTGCGTCGCTGGTATGCGGCCGAGGGTGAGGACCCGGAGGATGACCCGCAGGAGGTTGCGGCAGGTATCGAAGCGGCAGCCAAGCGATATTGCGAAGCCGTGCAGGGTGTCCTGTCCTTCAACGTCGGCGCGGCGACTGTGCTTGTTGACCCCAACTGCGACTGCTGCCTTACCGTCTGTCAGAAACCTCTGTCGCCGCTGTTTATTTCGCCACACGCCGGAGGACCCAGTCTGAGAGCCGCACATGTCGCCACTCCGCGACTACCAACGGAGGAGGTGGAGGAGGAGGAGGAGGAGGAGGATGAGGAGGATGAGGAGGATGAGGAAGATGAGGCTGCACTCATCCAGGAGGAAGACGATGATGATGAAGAGGATGATGACGAAGCACTGGTAGTCTCTGAGGACGACGTTTATTTGTATCACTCTCCGCCATTTGGGTTTCGCGCGACTCTCGACAGCGACAGTAGCGGCAGCGACCGAGCCTTTGGTCGTGGACGCGAGGTCGAGGACGAGGAGGAAAGGAGTGAAGAAAGCGGCAACGGGGGTAGCGACGGAGACAGTGACCAGCTGGCCGCCGACGGAGACAGTGACCAGCTGGCCGCCGACGATAGTAGTGTAGATAGCAGCCCCGCCGGCCGACCAGGGCCCCAATCGGGTCCGAGTTACTGGTTGCGGATCCCGTCCGAACAGGTGGCCATTGAAACCGCGACCAGCCGGGACCAGCCCAAGTGGAACCTCCCATTCGCGACCGAGGCCGCATGGGTGGCAGGGACACAAGATGAGCGACTCCGGCGAGACACGTGGCAGCATTGGGCACACTTAGCACACCCGCGACCCGCGCGCCCGCCACCAGGCGCCGAAGAAAGTTCCACTGGGGTCGAAAGTCACCCAGCGAACCATGCAGCGAAACGCAGAAGACGACTGATGGCCATCGATAGCGACAGCGACGTGGACTCGGTATCCAGAACTCAGTCGGGAACGCAGGCACAGGCGGGGACGGACGCGGCGACCTTTTTGGGGCCGACGGCCTGGAGGTCCGGGGCTTCGGCACTTGGAGTCACGACGACGTCGATAACCGGGGCACCTGGAACTGGGGGAAATTCGGCACTTGCGGCGGAATCCCAGAACAGGGAACGTTCAGGCAAACGGTTGACAATGGATGAGCCCGTGACATTGTTTAGCGAGTCAGAATCTGTTGGTGACGATAGCAGCTCGAATGCAGCGACAGACACCGGGATGTGTATTAGGGCAGATTCCTGTCCCTGGACGGTGAGAAGCTGTGAAGAGGACGGCGACCATCGACATGAAGAGGACGGCGACCGCCAGCAGCCTGAAGCGGTTTCCGGCGCAACACTGAACGGGAATGCGAACGAAATGAATCTGAACGGCATCAAAGCGACCAGCGGTGCTTGTATTCTTTGCCGCCGAGACTTCGGATTTGAGGAAGGCGCAATCCCGTTCGGCGGGTTGTCCTGTTCCGTATTACGACATTATTCTCGGTTGGATGAACTGAGGGATAAATTGGCCTTCCGTCCGTATGAACTAAAAGGTCCCTTCACCTCGAAGAACGACCCCGACCCCTTTTACCTACATCGAATCTGTCTGCTATCGTTATGTCCTAAGCGGCCCGGTCCCTTCGTGAGCACGCCGTTCAGCAAGCTGACCATGGCTGCCTTGCGTAAGGCGAGCAGTCGTTGTCGTCATTGCGAGAACGAAGGTGGATTAGCTCTGTCATGCGCCGTGTGTGGGTGCCTTTCACACGCAAGCTGCGCCTATGAGGAAGTGGCGGAAACGAAACCTTCCCAAAGGCTACCTTCCGTCAGTGCCAAGACCAGTGTGGAACTGCTTGTAACCACCGGCGTGTTCCTCTGCAATAAGTATCATACACTTCTAGCACTATACACTCGTGTAGGTAGGGACAATTGTGTGGGCCCTGTACTTCTCGGGTCCTGTGCACGCACTAGTATATGTTCACACACTAGTGTGTCTTCAAAGACTAGTGTATGTTTACAAACGAGTGTTTTTTTTAGATGCACTGAACTGGATTCCTACGGATATACTGTGGCGCAAGGCGGAAATCTCGTATCTGAGACTCGCTCTGCACAATTGTTGTGCTCTCTGGTGGAGGGCGACGTTATCTACGTACCTATTCCGAACAACAAGTTTGCGATGATTGAAAGCGATTTGTTTGAGAGCCACGTGGGGATAGTGTTGGACAGTGAGGCTACATACGGGCTGCTTCCGATCGCGGATCCCATCGCGGCTTCAGATGAAAGTTCGGACGAAATTTGTATCCTCGACTGTTGTACTCCTTTAGTAGATAGTGTGTTAACGGTGATGGTCGTAGAACCCAGGGAACACAGGGGGTTTGTCTACAGGAAGTTGTGGTCTTCTTTTGCGACGCCTCCGATCCTGAAACACAGCGAGGTCTTAATGGGTACGACCGTCGACAATCCACTAAGGAGACTCGCCTATGCAAGTCCTTTCATAGAAGCTGACAACCCTCAGAGGATGACAGCGAGACTCACGAAGCTGATTAAACCGATCACGGAACCTCCCCGCAGCACAGATGGTTCTTTTACTGACGGCACAGATCCAGCCGAACTGGGGAACAAACCCGCAGGCATAGAACTGATTGTTGCTGCATTGCAGTGTCAAAATGGCTACAAGCCCACATGCCAACAACCATGCCGTTTGGTTCCTGCCTCCATCATCCCTAGGCCAGTTATTCTACTCCTCGCCAAAGTGATATATTGTGCTAAATATGTGCAGGCGCTTGAAGATTATCTCCGTATTAAACACGACGGGGAAATTAAACAAGAACAAACTGAGAGCAGATCTCAAGACACATCCTCACCACAGGATGATACGGAACTTTTCATATTTTCAGCCTTTCACGATACGCCAAGGCCACCATCCAAACCTGCATTCCAGCTCCAGTCCGGAGAGCTAGTGCACTGGGAAGACGAATATTACCAAATTATACCTTGCCCAATTTCTCTTAACGAAATACTTCATCGATTGCGAAATGGATTCTATAACCGTTTGCCACAAGTGTGGCATGACGTTATGCTCTTGCATAGGAACGCAGTTGCCTTCAACGGTCCGCACGATCCAATTAGCGAAGCCGCAGAGGCTCTTGTAAAATACATAGCAAGTGGCGCGCTGCAAAATTTCGAGCTCGCACACGTGTGCGACGACGGCTCATGGTACCTCGTCCGCCATTACAACGTTATAGAGGAAGATCTGAATGTGACGGGCCGCATATATGCTGGAATGAACCCATTCCGTAAAGGGCTGGAGTTATTAGCGAACGACCCTGACAACAAATGGATAACCGATGCTGGAGGTGACAACTACAGGGGATCTTGGTAGAGAACTCGGTAGAGAGCTCGGTAGGGAGATAGTTGGTGGTCTATTGGTCAGCAGAGGCTGGTGATAGTGTCCGGGTCAGTGAACGGGGCCCATAATTTTTTTGACATTCGAAAATGCAGCCCCCTGCGGAGGCCCCCGATGCCTTCGATGACGCTTGGTCCACCGGTGGCGGCTATGACGTCCCGGCGCAGAGTAGTGCTTCTAGATCGTGGGAGCAGTCTGCAGCGCGAGACAGTGGACGAAGTGCGGAAGCAGTGGTGGCGAAGCCGGTGATTCAGTATGCAGCTCCGGGCAACTCGAATTCTGGCATGAATCCGGCCTCAACCGTGGCGTTTATGCTGAATATGGGCTACCCCCCGCCGCCCATTGCGTTGGAACCGTTGAGAAGATTGGTGGAGCAGGTCACAATGGGACATGGAAGCCAGTTGAATTTGCACAATGCATTATATATAACGGATGAGATCTCGCGGTCCCCGTACAGAATCGCGCCTGCTGTCCTTTTTGTTCTACAACAAAGGCTACATTCAAGCAAACCCGACCGGGTCTCGCTGGCGCTCGAACTACTGGATATGTGCGTCAAGAACTGTGGCCTGGAATTCATCAGACATATTAATAAGGAATTCATGAAGTCCATGAGTTCCGTCATTAAAACCACTTCATTCAAAGAACGCACTTTCACCGGCCAAATGAAAAGACTTGAAAAATACATCACCGGCGCACCCACTACTTCCGGAGTAGCCACGGATCCAAGAGTGCACGTAAGCGCGTCACATGCTCCCTACACTTTGACTCGACATACAGACATGACATATGGACTCGACATGACATATGGACTCAACACAGATATACCCCGCTGAGCTCTATGCACCTCCGCTTATATCCCCCCTTTTTCCCTGTATTGTCTCCGTATCCCCTGTATTGACACTGCTCATATGGATGTGCCCTGGCAGAAACTTCGGCGAATGTGTTTGGTGATGATTCAGAATTGGTGCGATGCTTTCGAAATGTATCCTAACCAGGTGGGCCCGATCCTCGACGCTTATCAATCGCTGAAAAGAAAGGGCATAAACTTCCCTCCCAAGGACCCCAGTCAGCGGTACATGATCAAGGACGGGGACCGCACTGCCCCTGCCGCTGCCTCTGCCGCTGGCACGGTCGAAGCGACCACCACTTGGGATGAGGAAGGCTTTGGCAGCAAACCCAGGATGGAGGCTTTCGGAAACGATCCTCTGGATGATCAACTTCCGCTGACGGAGAAACAGGTAAGCTTTTCGTCTTCTTGCGCACATCCCCGCTCTTCTTCTACTACCTCATCCCGGTGCCTGTTGCTTGAGCTCACCCTTTTCTTTTTCAGTTTGCTCAGATTGAGTCTATGATAAATATACTGCGGATGGAGGTGCCAACTAGTGAGAAGGTGGAGGTAACTTTAGCTCGGTGTGAGTCGTTACGGACGCAGTTGGAGAGTGCGTACAGAGAGTTGAATTCGCGTGTGCACAACAGCAGTTCGCGCAAGTTGCGTTGCAGTAACCCGGCGGTGACGCAGTTGAACGCGCTCATGTCACTGGATACGGAGTACAGAAAGCTGAAGGGTGTGCGGCTGTTGTTCGATGCAAATAATACGCCTGCGACCACCGCGACGACCTCGGTCTCTCCCCTTAGTCGTCTGGCACCCGCTGCGAGCTCGCTGCCCGTCGTCTCGCCACCGCCACCCAAGAAGCCCGTGAACCTTTTGGACGACTTGCTCGACGAGGAGGAACGCCAACAGACTCCTGCACCGATGGCTCCTCCGGCCACCCTTATGGACCCCGCGTCTGTGCCAGTGGGTGTGGCAGCGCCTGTGCCAGCCATGAGTAAGGCGCCCACGGGCGTGAGGAAGTCGGGATCGCTGGAAAGTGCTGGTCCAGAGGATGAACCAGACGATTTCAACACGGAGGGCGATTTTGGTGGGTGGGGCAAGGCGACGTCGAAAGAGTCCTTTTTGTTTTAAAATTATGGGCGGGACGATTTACCGGCTGCTCTGTTCTTCCGCGACCGTGATGGAGGGCTGGCCGGAGGAGAAGACAGATCACGACTGCCGGATCCAGTGCTCGTACAACTGCGTGGCCTTCACCACAGATGACTCCACGTAAGCAAAGTTGCAACACAAACGACTGACCAGACGGTACTCGTATGCGGATTTGCTCGACTGTCTGTCGGACCCGGCATTGCTGGGGTGCGAACTGAAGCTCGAGATGGAAGAAATCATGCCCACCACGCTTCGCGGGCAGTACACTGTGACCCTGGAGAACGTCACGGCTGTCGGCGGGATGGCCGCTGAAGCGCGTGCCGCTGGGACGAACCTTGGCTCTGGGAGGTCAGGCACCAACCCTGAGGTGGACCTCATGACGGAGATTAGTTTGGCCGGGACGCCGCTTCAGAATATAACGAGAGGCTGGGGACCCTGCGACCGGCTGCCGTGGGAGCCGAGCGTGGATGACCCGACGCGAGCGCGAGTGGAGACGCACCCCCTGGCAGTATTGGCCGAGAGTGACCTGGGAGACCGTGGTTTGGCCGAGAGGGGGTTGGGCGAAACGTACACGTTTGTGCAGATTTCGGTGAGTGCGTTGGAGACGCGGCACACCAACTGGGACAATATCTCCTACTTGCGCACGCGTGTGCAGCACAGTCTGGACGCCCTGCCGCTAACCTGCTACGCCGCGGGAGCGGGGGTGATGGTGTACATCAACGGCGAATGCGCCGCGTGGCCGACGACGGGACCGGTGAATGCGGCGGGCGAGTTCCTGTTCACCATTCCGGCCGGAGTGATAAGCGGTCTGGTGAGCAGCGCCGATCTACCGCCAGCCGCACTCGACCTCATATTCACCTTCAACACCGCCTGCTTCGGCGACGTTGTCGGCGCCATCGCCACCGCCTTCTCCATCATACCTTTCCAGTACCACGCGCCCAGTAGCTGCATGGGCTTCCAAGACTGCGCATCCTGTCTATCCGCCGGCTGCAACTGGTGCGAATGGGCCTGCGACGCCAACTGCGACAGTCTCCCCGAGTGGATTCCCGACTACAGCTGGACTGAGGAAGCCCACTCCGGCGGCACCGGCCGCTGCGGTATCCACCCCTACCTCTGCCGCGAAACACTCGGCGCTTTCAACACCTGCCGCGCAGACCACGGTGCAGTCAAGGACATCCTCTGGCCCATCACCTTCTTCATCATCCCCATTGCGCTGCTCTACGCCATCGTCCAAATTCGGAACAAAACCTGGTAGCACACGCGTGTGCACACAAGCAAGTTGCGCGCAAATTACCCGCGAATCGTGGTTGAGAAAGAATGTGGGGTATTCGACGGCGGGGATCGAAGGGAGTCAACGAGAGTTGGTTCAGTGGTGTTTCAAAAAAAGGAGTCAACGAGAGTTGGTTCAGTGGTGTTTCAAAAAAAGGAACACATTATGCTGCCTCTTCTGAATGGTTGCGCAGGATTGTCTGGTGCCTGTTGAAGAACGCAGGCTTGGCAAATGCGGCGGAGTGAATGTCGGCGGTGTAGTACATCGTGGCTTGGTCCTCTTCAGTAAATCTCTTGGCGGCTGCGATCCGATCTGGGTGGATTTGCTTCATGTTAATGGCCTTGCCCTTGGTGAGAGCCAAGAGACCCATGACGCCGCAGGGATAGACGGGAATGAGGTGCCAGTAGTAGTCGGCGTTGTCGAAAATGTTCTTGTTCATTTTGAGTACAGATTCGACGGTCTTGGGGTGGATCCACATGCATTCGCCTTGGGCGACAGCGCAGCCATTCTCCTTGAGGCAGGCGTGGACGTTGCGGTAGAAGGGTTCCTTGAAGAGAACGGCGTTCGGCCCGATGGGGTCGGAGGAGTCGATGCAGATGACGTCAAAGTAATTTTGCAGCTCGGGTTTTTGGACGTATTTGGCGCCGTCTTCGTGGCAGATTTTGAGGCGCGGGTCGTCGAGAGCGCTGGCAATCTTGGGGAAGTATTTGCGGGCTACGGCCGTGACCGCGGCATCGATGTCGACCAAGTGGACCTCTTGCACACACGTGTGCTTGAGAATTTCGCGCGCAACTCCGCCGTCGCCGCCGCCTATAATGAGCACTCTCTCGGGTTTGGGGTGGGCGAAGAGTGGCACGTGGGCCTGCATTTCGTGGTAGGTGAATTCGTCGGCCTCGGTGTTCTGGAAAACGCCGTCCAGGACCATGAGGTTTCCCCAGTTGGTTGTTTCAAAGACCTGTAGGTGCTGGTAGGTGGTTTGTTCGTCGTGCAATTTCTTCGTCACGCGGAATGACTGCGCCATGCCATGCCCCTTTTCGAACTGGGACTCTTCGGTGACCCATTGGGTGCTGTCGACGACCGCGTTGCCTTGCTCCGACTTGGTGCCCTGGTCTGTCATGTGTTCGGAAAAAAAAATGATGCTGGGAAACTCACTGACGACCACCACGGTACCCAGACGTGTTTTATTGAGCGGTTCTCAGCGGGGTTCACCTCTAGATAACTACTTCGGCTTCTCCGCTTCCAGTTTCAATGAAGCCGATCTTATATACGCGCCCTTCTACTCAGAGTCCCGAAGTGCCCAGCCACAGGTCTCAGTGGCGCATAGCCAAAAATGTCAAGATGACAGCAGCAGCAACAGCGACTCCTCACCTCGCAGAGTCACTGGCGGGGAAGTGAACCTTTTGCGAGAAAGACCCGTCACTAGGAATGCCTACCAACTGGACCTGGAACCAAATTCTCACGGACCCCATGCCCCCGCCCATGGACTAACTTCCCACGGGCCCACGGGTCATGGGCAGCCCGGGATCAACAGCGAACCAGCGTTCTCAAACAAACAGCCCTCTGGTGAGAGACAAATGAGCGGCCCCAGGTCCTTCTCTCCCGTGGTGGCCAGGCCCACGGTTCCGCGAGCCTTTTTGACTGACCGATTGAGGCCGTCCAAAATGCACTGGCGGCGACGAAGAAGGCAGCGATGCAAGTGCTGCGAATAAAATTTTTACAGAAAATCTGGATGCATGGCGACGAGGACGAATGACGCAGGATTCTGGGACTCAGACGACCCCCGCGTGAACAAGATCTACATCGAGACGTTGAAGAAACGTGCCTTTAGCTCCCAGGAAAATCGAATCGACATCACCCCCTCCAATGTAACCAACCTTCAGTAACATCCTTCGTACCATGACAAAACATCCGTACTGCGACAACATTGTACTGCATCAACCTTGTACTGCGTTAGCTGTACTCACCGTGCGGAATGCCGGGTCATGCGCAACATGACATTAAATAAAGGTTGCGTTGTGCCAGTAATTAGGCGCAGTAGACTGGCTAGTGAAGTGGGCGTAGCGCACGTTTATGTTTTGTAGTTCATTCATGCTTTGCTTATGACATTTGGAAAGGATTCGTATATGCTATTCTTCTTGATGGGGACAGTGGTGTGTTTTATGATCAATCAGTGGCAGTCGTGTTGGCTGATCTTGGCGTTGGTGTTTGTACTCCTGTTGAAATTCGTGGTTGGCATGACAGATACTCGTGAGTTGCGGCGGATTTTGGCGCGCGAGAACAAGAAACAGTGTGTCCGGATCGACGCGACTGTGGGGGGTGCTGCAGTGGCTGCCTGGCAAGATCTGGCGGCCGGTGACGTCATATTGCTTCAGTAAGGTCGAGCGAGGGTCGCCGGTGTGTGACGGTGTCACTACGTGCGTTTGTGTGTGTTGACGTGGCGTGTATGTGTAGGCAGAATGAGGAGTTGCCGTGCGACTGTTTGCTGTTGTCTACGTCGCACAAGGGCGGGTTGGGATACTTCGAGAGTGAAACGGTGGCGGGTGCGGCGCCCATTCGGATAAAGCAATCCTGTCGGGACACCCGAATGGTATGCACAGTAAACCAGGCCTGTCGGTTAGGGGGCTACGTAATATGGTACCTATTTCCTCATCCGTACTTGGCACAAAAATTGGCCGACGGGCAGCGAGCGCGCTTCCGGGGACAGCTCAAGTTGAAAGATTATCCACGTGCCTGTGAAGTATCAATTTCGAATGTGATCTTTAAAGGGCAAGTTTTACGGAACACGGATTGGGCTTTTGTATTGTGTATCTTCACGGGTAAGGATTGTTTCATTCATCAGAATGACACGTTTAATTACTTGGAAGTCCGTGGTCCGTTGGCTAACTTGGTGGAGAAGCAATCGATTTTCGGTGCGGTGTTGTCTGTGTTGTGTGTGTTGCTCCAATTCACGCAATGGACCGCCATCGGTCCGGCTAGAGGGCGCATCTGGCAGTACCTGAATCGTATGCAGGTGGGTAACCGTCGCCAAATGCTTGCTGCTGCCTTCGCACGCTACCTCTTCTTCATACCCCTCCTTTGCGCCACGCCATACGCCCTCTCCCGCTCCGTCGAAGTCTGGCGCTTCAACCGCCGCAAAACGGTCCATCGCGACGTGTACGTCGTCAACCCATCCGGACTCGCCTCCCTCTACGAAACCACACACCTCGTCGCCGAAGTTAACGTCTTCCTTCTCCGAGACTCCGAATGCTCCGGCTTCACCGTTGGCACCGACTCCTTCGGTGTCCGGAGACGCAAACAACACAATGCCGGTCTCGACGCCGCCACCCAGGGGACTGGCACCCAACAGAGTGATGCCCAAAAAGCCGGCGCTGACACCACCCCCGCCAGGGCGGAGGGGACCACCCCCAACGGAACGGACGCCTTGGCAGACGCGGCGACGGGACGAACCGGACCCGATGCACAAGACTCCGGCGCCAAGGGGCCCGGTGGCAGCTGTATGAAACCGGCCGGACTCGCCGCCAATCGCGACCGGCGTAAGAAACAGAACGTACGTCTTGCTTTCTCAGACACCGTCGATCACCAGGCCGCCCAACCCACGGACCGTCCCGTCGAGCAACGCCCGATGGAAAACAGGCCAGACCAGACATTGCGCGAAATCATGAACGCCGGACCTCCACCGATGGGCGCCGCTAATTCGCAAGGCGCAATCAATTCGCAAGGCGGAGCCAACAGACTGCGGGCGGACGGTAACCTCAACCGGGGCGCGGCTGCACCGAATTCGGACGCAAGTGACGAGGAGTCCGAAGAGGTCTACATTTCGGAGTCGGAGGGTGAAGACGAAGGGCGACGTGAGGAGCGGCGAGGTGAGGAGCGGCCGGATGGTGTTGAGGAGACCCAGGATAGTACGCCTCGACGCAAGCTCAAGGGTCCAGACCAGATACGGAACGGGGAGGGTCAGACGGCTGTGCGACGGTCGGGTTCTAACGAGTCTGCGCGTCGCGACGTACGTTTTGGAGACTCGTCGTCTACACCTGCAGGTTCGGAGCCGGACACGGCACCGGATTTCAAGCAAAGGTACGCGGAAGGGCGGAAGTCGGAAGAGGGGCGGAAGTCGACGGAGAGTCGACGATCCGGGACAAGTCGTCGGTCGGGCGGGAGTCGGAGGTCCGCGGAGAGTCGCCGGTCTCCGGACCGTGTGCCTGAGCGGGAGTCGTCGGGTCGTAGGACGAATTCGGGGTTCGGTCGGGGCCGTCATTTCCGAAATACGTCACGTTCGAGTTCGCTGCGCTGGGACTTGCTGGAGAATAATTTGGTAAGTTACGGTAGTGTCGAGGGGCAGACGGGTCCGGAGCAGGTGAACTCGGCGTACGTGCCGATCCCACGGATTCGCACAGGGTCCATGTCGAAGAAGCGCAAGTCGAAAAGCCACCTGAATTACGGTCCGCCTTCGTTCATCAACGAATACCCACCGCCGGCGGTATCCGCCCGGATCAGTTTGGACGTGAAGACCTCGGACCTGGAGACGTTGTATACCAACGACACAAGCCGGGCACGCTATCTGCACCATTTCCTCAAGTGCATAGCGTACGCCAACTCGTGTACGCCGATAATCAAGTCGGCCCCGCCGCGGGGTATGGTGAGTGGGTCAGTAGCCGAGAGGGAATCACCAGGGATTTCTGATCAGCCTGGCGCCGGTTGGAGGCCGCCTGTGGACTGCCACGACTACGTATCGCGCGTGGGTTTCCAGACCTCAATGTCTACCGTGGAGACTCGGGACTTGGCGTGGCGCGGCGACCTGATGCCGCGGCTGGACTACCACGAGGGGCGACTGGAGGATAGTGCATTAGTCTCGCTGGCATCCTACATGGGTGTGACGATGTTTTCGCGCACAGAAAGTTATATTGACTGCGAGGTGAACGGCAAGGTCGATCGCTTCCACGTTCTCGCGTCTTCACCAACAGTTCTCACAGGCACCTGCATTGTGGTGGGGCACTTAGACGGTGACGATCAGGTTGTGTTGTACGTGACGGCACCGTACAGCGCGTTGATCTCGAGATTGGGCGTGAGCACGCATAGTAAAGAAAGTCTGCACCGTCGAATCATTGCGTTGGCGGAACGTGGTCACAAGACCGTGATTGCGGCGTATCGAACATTGACGGAAACGGAGGTGAAGAGTGTGGAGAAGGTAGCAAAGGAGGACCCATCACTGTTGGTGGATGTGTTTGAGAAGCTGAACCGTGTGCTGTACCGTCTGATTCGTAGATTACGGTATTTAGGTTTGGTTAACACGCGACTGAACGCGTGTGCGTGTTCACGTCAGTTTACGAGCTCTTTACATAACTGCAGCCTCCCTATGATCGGACTATGTTGTGAACGTACGGTCGACGCTGTACGGTTGGCGGTTACCGCTAATATGGTGCAAGACGCGCCTGTAGTATATTATTTACAGCAGCGATGGAGAATCATTCATCGGAATGAAGGCAAGACGCTGCGTGGGACACAGATAAAAAAGGAGATGATGTTGTTGTTAGAGGACTTTATAAATATACGTAAATATGCTACGGCCAAACAGAAACCGTTGATCGTACTACTTCAGCTAACTGTTCTAGACGCCTTCGTCAAATCGATCGATATGCAACCTGGACTGCTTTATATGTTAACTGCCTGCGATTGCGTTGTTCTTGCTAATGTTGATCCCGATCGTAGCCGCCACGTCCTGCATCTGTTACGTCACTGTCTCCCAGACAGCATGAACTTCCTCGGCATCGGCATCACTGGACAGGGAGTCATGCACCTGGAAACCTGTGACGTCGTCGTTGGACTCACTCGCAACCTACGATCCTGTCCGTGCACATATCGCAGTGTAGATACTGATACCCAAGACCCAAACCAAACATCTTTCGAAGCGAATGCACCCTGGACGAATGCACCCCACAGCAACATACAACTAGCAGACCATGTCGTATCCCCCACTGCTGATACCATCAAGTCCGGTGTTACTCCCGGTGTCATCCACTACCCCGACCCTCAGGCGTCCAATCAACGGGCGCTCGATTCTCGTGCTTCCGAGCCACCTGCATCGAATAGCCAAGACATACTATTTCCCACCGGTCTACCCACTCTTATCGTCCCACCGTCCAACGTGGTCGAAAAGGAACCTGAAGAAGAGGAACCCGTAATCGTGGGACCGTTGCCTGAGGGTAATGCGGTGGACGTGTCGAGTTCGGCGGACAATCGGAACTCGAGTTTCTTAGCGATGACGCGAGTTTTACTGGGTAGTGGTGAGGAGGAGTATGCGCTGAGTCGTCTCTCTAAAGTTCGTTCGTTACCGGAACCAGCTTCAGTAGAATCGGGACGAATTTTATCATTTAGTAAGAGTACCTTAATAACGCGCTCCAATTTGGTCATGCCGAGTTTGGGTCACTTGGCACATTTCATGAAGTTCCAGGGCTCGAACTGTAACAGGCGATACAAGGCGCTGGCGATATGGTTGACGTACGTGCAATACATGTTCGTCTTACCGTGCATGTTTTACGACTTCGAATCGGCAGGTTCCATGGACGGCTTTCCTCTGTCTGTATTGGCCGTGGGTGCGGTAGTGATGCTGGTATTGCCATTGGGCTTCCTACGTTTCCAACCGGAGAAACCGGAACCAGTTTTTCCATGCCAGGAGTTTGATTTAAAGACATCTGGTCTAAGTCTAAGCTGGTTCGATGTAAGTCTAAATTTCTTGGAGGCCTTGGGGACCTGCGCCTTATCCTTTTACTGGGCCAAATACACGGAACAGCAGTCTGGATGGCCGTCGAATGGCAAGGTATTCAGTGGGTTCCAAGGAATGACAGTGATTGGCGTGTTTGCTATTTCGATCGCCCGCTATTTGTTAATCGAATTTGGTCTGGCTCATGACGCACGTATGGGCGCCGGTGCGAACGCGCCCCGCATCAACCTGTGGACCTCCCTCGCCAGCGTTACCGCCACCATCGGACTTGGATTGTTCGCATTCTGGTGTCTGAATTATTTGCGCGTGCTCGGGACACTCCTGGGCATCCTGTCCGTGCTCTTCGTCTCCCTGGCAAGCGTGGTCATAGGTGCCGCTCTATATCGGCTACGGGTGGCATCCTTCCGCCGCTACGCCGCCCGCTTCTGGACCCGACTCTGGGAAGTCTGTGGCGCCGCCATTTCAAAACTATCACTTCGACTCATGGGTCTTGGCGACTATTCTGCCCGCGAAGGCCCTCCCAGTGACGACTTGATCACCGGCGCCAGTCGTGAAGGACGTACCATTACTCTCAACGCTCTCAGCAAATTCGACCACGATGAAAACGCAAACGGCAGTCCTGAAGCCGAAGCCGAAGACGGGGATGGAAACGGTAGTCCTGAAGAGGGGGGCGGAAACGGCAGTTCCGAACCCGGCCGTGGCGGGAGCATAGACGGCTCCCGCCCCAGCCCGGACGGGAACCGGATGGCCGAGACGGACAAGAACGGGAGCCGGGCAATGGCCAAGTCGCCAGTAGAGACGCGCGGTACTTTGCGGAACGTGTCACCGCCGCGGTTTGTGAGGCCGGACAAAAGTTTGCGGTCGAAGACGAGTCGGTCGTGGCAGGACGTGCACATTCCGAACTTAGCGCGGGCTCGATTGCCAGATACGGTGGTGGACGAGAACTCGGCCTACATCTACGACGACGTGTCCTTGGGGACGCTCTCGGTAGGCGAGGGTCGGATAGACTCGGATGTGTTGCAGAGCCAGAGCGACCTGGACGAGCAGCTGGCGTACCGGGCAAACACTGAAGAGGATGACCATTCGGGTGTCTCCGGAGGCAACAGTTACCGCGACCTGCGTTCTGAGGCGACGGCCCTTTTACGAAAGTCAGCCGGTGAGCAGACCGGGCAGACTGTGGTGGAGTCTAAGAGCATCAAGGGCATGACCGATTGGACCGGCATGCGTTTCAAGGACAGCAAGCTGGAAGCACTCTTCCGCTACAGCTGCACTATGGAACGCCGAAGTGCGAAGCCCGCTTACCTCGCCTACTCAGTCTTGATGCTCGCAGTGTGTGTGGCCACGTTCATCGCGCGCAAACTCATTATGGACGTGCGCTGGGCGGATTATCTCGTCTTTTCCGTGCACGTGACACTTTTCACGCTCATGATCGGATCGACACTAACCAACATTATTTACTTAAACTTTCGCACACAAATGTATGTTTTCGCCTTTGTCTTCACACTCTCTGTCTTCCTCGACCGCTGGACTCGTCTTCCACTGTATCCACTCGTACTCTGTCATGCCACCTGGCTCTTTGTAATCAGCCGCATGCGGCTCGAAGACGCTACCGCAATTAGTCTGGCACAACTTATCGCACTCTTCGTCTCCTACTACGTCATTCCGAAACGGAGGATACAAGGAGATGAGCGCAACTACGCCTTTTCCATCTTTCTGCTTGTAAACGATCTGGGCTCCTTCGCCTTCATGTATATCGTGGGGGCGCGTCTTGCACTCACTGACCGCCAGCGGTTCTGGCTAAATTACAAAGTTGAACTGGCGAAGGTTAAGAAACGAGACATTCTTACCAACATGCTCCCCACGTTCGTGGTAGACCTGATGCTCAAGAACGGAGTGAACGAACTGGGTGTGCCTCGCGGTATGACCGCGATTTGTCCCGGGATTGTGACTGTGATTTTTTGTGACGTTTACGACTTCCAGAACCTGGTCAAGAAACTAGAGCCGACACACCTGGTGGAGCTGCTGGACAGCCTTTTCGTCTCCTTCGATCGACTGGTGGATTCATTCGAGGTAATCAAGATTGAGACAGTGTTTGAGACGTACCTGAGCTGTGCAGGCATCACTCTCAGTGGCGAAGGAACACCTGACGAACTCTCGCTTCGTGACTGTTTTGCAGCACTCGACTTTGCCCTCACTCAGCTGCAGGTTGTCGCTGGTATTAGCTACTCGGTCAAGGACGACAGCCCCGCTAATGTGCCCGATGAGCCGGTGAACGCCGACTACATTACGGGTAGCGAAGACCTTAATTTCCGCACATTAGACCTACGGGCCGTGGACCTGGGGGCACTGGACATCCGTTCCAAACATGACGCATCCCATTTACCAGGTCAACCTGGCCATTTAGAGGGTGTGCTCGATCCCCGGTATTCACCCGGGGTGGAACGCGGTAATGCGCTGCCAGACCTGGGCATGTCCGACGAAACTGGCGCCGGCCAGGCCACGGTCTATCAGGACCACTCCATGTCGCGCTCGGGTGCTGGTGTTGGCGGGGGACCATTTTCCGATGGTTACTTAAGCGGTGCGCACGGTCGGCGCGAAGGCGAAGAACGTGAACAAACAGCAAGTCGTCCGCGTGAGGAACGTCGCGAGAAGCTGCATGTAAAGATCGGGATGCACACGGGATCAGTAACAGCTGGTGTGGTAGGTGGTAAGAAACCGCAGTACGCGTTGTTTGGAGACACTGTAAATACTGCCAGTCGAATGAAGTTGACAGGCGAGAAGGACAAGATCCATGTGAGTAATACGACCTATGACTTGCTCAAACAGGATCCCTCGCTAAGCTGGCTCGAACAGGCTATGCAGGTCAAGGGTAAAGGACTGATGGATACTTATCTGCTCACCAAGGTAGACGGCACATCCTATCCCACTTTCATCGACTCTGATGATGAAGACTGGATCAGTCTCGGAGGAGGCGACGAACTCAGTCTGGGTTCGGGTAGCAGTAGCGTCTCGGATGAGGCACTACCCGCCCCCGAAGTCTTGCGCCCCCGCGCTTCAGCCGATCTTAACCCTCGTTCGGCAGAAGGCCGTCTGGGCGAAGGTCGTCTTGGAGGAGACGGCCGTCTTGGAGGAGACGGCCGTCTTGGACCAGATGGGCGATTGGGGGACAGTCGGACGCCGGGGTCGCAGGACATGCGCGAGGACGGGCAAGACGGTTCAGGCCGGCGTGGCTTGCTGTTCCCAATTCGCGGACTGCGAAGGGCGACGGCCTTCGTGAGTCCGGAGGAGCAGCCCACTGCGGAAAACGTATTGCAAGATTCGAGACTGCCGGTCACACCTCTCGCCAGAGAACGCTCTGGCCGCCATAGTGCCGGCCTGCGGTGTGGCACTGAATATCGTGATCTGGACCATCATGGTTTGGGCCGTCGGGATCGAGAACGTGTGCCAGGAGCAAGACACACTCACGTACCGGGCAAGACAAGTCTGAAACAGTTCTTCCGTTTTGTTGACGATGTGTGCAACCACGTTCAAACGCGGCGCCGTCTCACAGACCGCGTACAAGCCCGACGGGGGCTGGTCAGTCCGGACGCTGCAAGTTGTGAGTCGGTTGTTGGTTCCGTGTCAGCTCCGGTAGGTGGCGCAGTACATGTCGGCCGTCATCAGGCGACTGCGTCGTCTTCGACGGAGAATGCGGCCCTGCTCCAAGACCCGCTGATGAGGCCCGCGCAAATGACGGAGCGTTTCTCGGGCCAACTGCACCCAAGCATGGACTATTCGAATACGCTGCATCAGACGGCAGGTAGCCTGCCGGGCGGCGTGGAGCTGGGTGGTAGCACTGTCAACCAGTTGGGAGGTAATGCCGCGAGCCATTTGGGTGCGGACCAGCTCAACGGTGGTGCAAACCAGAACGGTGGGAATCAGGTGAGTGGCAGTGCGAATCAGTTGAGTGTGAGTACGAACCAGTTGAGCGGGGAGGAGGGTCCGGTGGCGAGTGTAGTGAATAGTCGGAACAGCAAGAACACGAACAGTCGTGTGGCAACGGTTTATATGGATCCTCGTTCGACGTTTGTGGAGCGGCGGCAGACTTGGGCGGAACAGCAGCGAGTGGGGTTGGTGGGTGAGGATAGGACTGAGCATTCGAAGTCACTGGAGACAGGCTTAGATGAGATGGCCATTGAGAAGGCGATTCAGTCGCAGCGTGAGGGTTACCGGGAGTCAACGAGAGATTTGAACTTCCTGACGGCAACTTGGCGTGACGGAGATTTGGAGAACGAATATCGGGAATTTATCCGCAATGACGAACCACATATTCGGTACACATTAGCAGCATTGATCATATTCTTACTGACACGAGGACTAACTGCGGTTAGCAGGACCTATACGCGATACACTGCAGACGTCGTTCAAATAATGACGAGACAGCCTGCGAACCCGGTCACGAATTTGATTGTGGCATATTGGATAAGTCGTGGAGCAGAGTTGCTTTGTGGTTTCTTTGCGTGGGGATTGTTACATGTGATGAGGCGTACTGAGACAGCACGTGAGTGGGCTAACTTTACGGCTCAGTTTTGTTCATGTTTATATATCTGTTGTGTTCTAAGTTTTGTCATGTTACCAGGTTGGACATTTTTGGTGCAGGACAACAACTCAGAGATTACACCGTGGTGGGATTGGAGTACGGACATTGTCGAGTTTACTACATTATTGTTAATTCTGCACCATAACTATGGTTTCGTATTTCAGCATTTGATCATATTTGATGCCTTTATTCTTACCCTCATAATGATTTATCTTTGTCTTGTTGTACATGAAAACGAAGGATCACGAATAAGCATCGTTGTAATGCCCTTTCTACTTGCTATCATGTTATTGAGCGCATATGTTAAGGAAAATCAGGACCGAGTCAGTTGGTATATTTCGCGTAGATTTAGACACTCAGAAGATAAAGCGAAGGAAATGCTGGTAGATATGTTACCCAAACAAGTACTGGAGGAATTCCAAACCGACAAGCTACGACTCGCGTATAGCCATAATGACATCACCTTCCTCTTTGCAGACATCGTCGGATTCACCAATTACAGCTCTACTGTTACACCTGAGGAAGTGGTTAACCTCCTCCAACGGCTCTTTGCCGCCTTCGATCACGATAGCACACGTTTCTACCTATTTAAACTTTGTACCATCGGCGACGCATATGTCGCCGTCTCCGACCCTCCCACCGAATCACAAACCAACTACGATCCCATCCCCGGGCTACTAAACGTTTGGGACATGACGCAGGCCATGCTCAAAACCATCTCCCGCATCCGAAGCGAAGTCGGCGTCCCCTCGCTGGACATGCGCATCGGCTGCCATCTCGGATCCTGCGTCGGCGGCGTCATAGGCTCCGGACGCATCCGCTACGACTTCTGGGGCATGGACGTGTTGATTGGCAACTCCATGGAAAGCAACGGCAAACCTGGACGCATCAACGTCTCAGACACCTGGCGACAATGCGTCGAACATTATTCTCCCGGCTCATTCTCCTTCACCTTCAACAAAGTCGTCGAAGTCCAAGACACGCAAGTAGACACCTGGTTCGCCAACGAAGTCCGCCGAATACCCCGACAGGCCAGAAACCCCGACTTAGATAGATCAAAGTTCGCCAAAAAGATATAGCGCGCACTGTGCACACACGTGTGCACGCCTCTTCCTAAGCCCATTTTTCTCACCGGCTTGGGAAACATCGGGCTGCCTGCAATTCGCTTGCGCGATTCATCTACGATTGCCAAAAAATTAGGTTGAGTTCAGTCCACAATTTAACTCGGCTGCAATTTGACTCGGCTCAATGTCAGAGACGCACCAGGACAATGCCAGCCAGGACGGAGGGGGCTCGCTAGAGAAGTCGACGGACAGGTCAGTGGTGCGGATGAAGACGTCGATTAGCCGCGCTCCCTCTATGACTTCGGCGAGTTCTGTGGACGTGCAGGCGACGGGTTGCAACCCGTTGTACTTTATCTTCCACCCGGGGCAGGTGCCTCGGGAGGTCTTTCGGTCGGTGGCTGCGAACCGTTGGATTGAATGTCGCAAGGCGATCCAGTTGTTCCCATTGAGATTCCGGGACGCGAAGGAGGAGGTGGAGTATAAGTCGTTGCTGAATGAGGACCACAGCGTGATGCCACATTTAGCGGCGGGGAACACGTTGTTTATCTTGTTCGTGTTGATTGTGACGGCGATAGGATTCGATTACCCGCGCCACGCATGGTTTATCGCCCACAAGATGGGGGCGACTCTGTACCTAGGTTTTGTGGCGATGCTGATTTCTATCTTGGGCAACGTATATTTGTATTTCCAGATTCAGCTGGAGGTGCAGATTAAGTGGATCCGGACTCATCGGGAGTTGAACTATTACATTGTCAATATAATTTCAATCGTAGCGTTGCAGATGTGGGGTTTGGCTCTGACGATACACGCCAATGAAATTGAGCCTTTGGATTTCAACAACCCTCTCGGCAACCAGGATGTGTTGCACGTGAAAATGTGGGTGGATGGGCTTGCCAACGCGACCATGTTGCTACCAATAGTGCAGTGTGACATGTTTCTGAACACACTATCGCGCTGGTCTATTTACTTCCACTTATTCGTGTTATGCTCTTACCTTGCTAATCGGATGGGCACGCTCGGCTCCCTCAGTGCACGCGCGTTGGTGGCAGGAAACATTTTGGATCTGGTGGCCTTCACAGTCCTGTATTTATTTGGCTGGGCCGCGCGTTGGTATCGTGAACTGCAGCATCGAGCCTCAGTTGTGAACGTGAAACAATCGCAGCAGAGTCTCCAACGTGTGCTACAACACAAGAGTAAGAAACGTAGGACGCAGTCCGCTGCTGAAGAGTTGATTGGAATCTTCACCACCTGCCAACAGATACTTGAGGACCGAGGTCGCACAGAACGGGAGGCTATTAAACTGCTTCAAGATTGCCAGAAACAACTCAGCCAGGACCAACAAGCCGAAGAAACGGGCGGCGTTGTCGGAACAGACGAAGCTGCAGACCCCATGAAACTTGCCGAAGACGTCGATGAAGACATGCAGGAAAACGCATTCATGAACATGTACAGAGTAGCCAAACGCCGACAGGGAGCAGATACTGCCAAGGCCGCCGCGGAACGTAGGACAGGAGCACGCAAAACTTCGGCCGTCCGCTTCGGTACCACCACTTCCGAACGGGCGTACCACGCAGAAGAAGCGCCCTCCCGTGTCGGCGAAATCGCCACTGTCACCATCGGAGGCGTTACGCTTCCTTCTCTGACAATCGTATGGTCCCTTATCCTCGTCCTTAATCCACCCCCCAACCGACCTTGTCCCAACCGACCTTGTCCCTACCGAGTGTATTGTAGCAAGAGGAGTTGAAATCAGTGGTGGGTGCGGACACGCAGTGGTCGGTTATTCAGTGTTCGAACACGTGTGTGAGTCCTTTTATGGAAGTGGCTTGGTCGTTGACGGAGTCATTATTGCCGTTTTTCGACGTGAAGCCGGAGGTGTTGTTGGGTACGTTATATATCATATCGAAGTTGTATTGGGCGCAAAATCCCTACCATAGTCCAGAGCATGCTGCACAGGTGGCTCATTCGGCGAGTGCCTTTGTGCATACTATGGATGTGAAGAAGTTCTTGACGGAATTGGATCTGGCTGCGTTGATTCTGGGTGCATTAGGTCATGATGTTGGTCATCCTGGACGTACGAATAATTACTACGTGCAAGCGAACAGTATGATAGCATTGGCGAGTAATGATACGAGTACATTGGAGAGCACACACAACTTTTTGCTACAGCGCATTATTGGACATTTGCCGGAAGTGCATTTGTTCGTTAACCTGACGGCGGATGAGAACCGGAGCATACGTAAGATGATGCAGCAACTGATTTTGATTACGGATATGGGCAAGCATTTCGACTTTATCAGTCGGTTGCGGTTGCGACGCTCGAACCCTGACTTTGACATGATGCTGAACGAGTCAGATAAACTACTCGCGATGCAACTGGCCGTTAAAGCTGGCGATATCAGTCACGTGGGAATGGGCTGGGATAATCATGAGGCCTGGACCACACGACTCGTCTATGAAAACATGCAGCAGGGAGACGATGAAGCGAAAAGAAATATGATGATTTCACCCCTGTGTGACCGTGAAAGCACTGACAACTTCTCCGCCACACAGGCCGGCTTTGTCAACTTCATCGCCCTACCTCTCTTCCAAGAACTCGCAGAAATCGACCCCACCGGAAACATTGCCTCCGTAGTACTTGCCAACGTACAAACCAACAAAGCACGCTGGGATACACGAGGCAGACCCAGCTTCGATAAGGACCCCAAGAAGAAAATCGCACCCCCAGTATTCCCCATGGCCTGCATCAAAGTTCTACTCACAGCCACTACCTTCAAGGCACTCGCCATGGAAGAGGAAGAAACGGCAGAAACTGCAGCGCAGCCGGCGACAAAACTGACAACCGTGGAACCCGAAACTGCGAAGGCGGAAACGGCGGCAGAGCCTGCCGAAGAAGAGCAAGCCGAAGAAGAATGACAATGCCTTAATGGGAAATGACAATGACATCCACCAGAGCGCCCACCAGGGAGATGCTCCGGGGACTCGGAAGACCACGACGTGGCTCCCGGAATATGGTGCTGCCTTGCGCCATTGTCCACCCCTTCGTGGTCCGTCCGCCCTGCCTTCCGCATTTGCCCTTGGTGGCGTCTTTTCGATATTATAACTAACTAGCTAACTAGCTAACATAGCGCCTAACTAACTAAGTACCTAGCTGTTCATATTTCTACGAGCGCGCTTCTGTGCACGTGAGAAAGAAGAAGATTGCACGGCCCGCGAGGACGAAGTACAGTGTTTCCGATCTGCATAATGCTTTCGATCTTGCGACTGCGCCTCCGAACTCAGAGGAGGGATAGCCGCTTGCCAAGCAGCCACTGACCTTTCTTGAATCTCATCCCACAATGCCTTGTCCCTCGGAGCCATTTTTAGGTGTTTCGTATCAGGGTCACGTCTCCAGTCACCGATGCCGGTCTCCTCCAGCTCTTCCTCCAAGCACTCTGACGAGAATGTCTCCATGTCTTCCGACGAGGGGTCGCCGGCGGACAGGAAAACTTGGGTGCATGGGTGGTGGAGCGTCTGCTCCGCCTCCGCTAGCCTGGCTCCGTCAGTCGTTGCGGACCGCCGCAACCGCGACCCGTCCCTCCATGCACGGTCGCCAAATGGGCACAGGTAGCGCAGCGCCTGGCGCCCCGCGGGGACTTGAATTTCGCTGCGACCCGAAGGCGCCAAGCCCGATAAGCCTGGTGGCTCCATGGCACTCGTAAACTCTGGCCTTGTAAAGTCGGACCTTGCGAACTCGGACCTGACGGCAGACGGGGCGCTATGTTCAATGGCGACGCGGGTAGGTTCAAGCTCAATAGGAGGAAGTGGGCGGCATGTTAACCGGCCGTGGCAATCCATGACGGGGCCGTTCATGACGGGGTCGTCCATGCCGGGTACGCTTACGGATTGGGGCAGAGGCTCTAGCAGTACGGGCGGTGCCGTAACGGGGCTCCGGACAACTGGACTTCGGGTAGAGACGGTTAATCGCGCGTAACCCCCTTGGCGCAAGTCCCTCTGGTTTTTGTACCGCAGCCGTTCCTGCTGCAACTTCCGGGTTAGATAGGACGTCCCGTTGTCGCCGCACACACCACAGCCATTGCTGCCGCATACGTTGCCGCTGTCCCCTTTACTGCACACTCCGTTACCGCACGCGTTGCTGCGGAAGAGCAGTCCAGCAGACAACCGTTTTGAACGAGACGTGCGTTGAATTCCGAAGCTTTTCTCGCAGTTCGCTCTTATAGAGAGATCGTCCTCTGCGCAAGGCGAGGACCGTAGACCGCTGTTACCGACCGACGAGTCCTCAGGATCTGACACAACTCCGTCCATCACCCCGTTCATCACTCCACCACTCATCACTCCGTTCATCACTCCACCACTCACCACTCCGTTCATCACTCCACCACTCACCACTCCGTCCATCATACCATCCATCGCTGACTCAGACACGAAGTTATTTGGTCGGTCTTTGCCCCGAGTTTTCTCGTGTTACCCCACTGCGTTGACCCCAGTGCTTTGCCCCTCGTCTTATCCCCGCTCCCTTTGACTTAAGCTATTGGTCACCTGATGCTCCCTGTCAGCACCTGTTGACTCGTGCGCGTCGGGACGTCTGGTGGCGTGACTTCTTCCGGTGGCGGGTGAGGGGGATTTCTTTAAACTATGAACTAAATACACTATGAACATTCTGTCGTTAGCGGAAGACGAGAACTACAGAAGCGAAGACGACGAGGACTTTCAGGAGGATTCGGAAGACGCCTCTTCTTCAGAAGGCGACGCGCACGTAGACACGGCAGACGATGGTTCTGTCTCGAGTCACAAGCAAATCGAGGAGCTATATCAAGGCATGAAGCGCGGTGAGCAGAGCAGACTCACCCCGTTTTCTTCGTTTCCTTCGTGCCAACGGATTGACGGACTTGTCACAAAGCCTCAACAACCAAGTCAGCCGCTCCAAGAGTCGCTTCAGAACGCCCTTCTGAAATACACCTCATGCCAGCCAGCCTACGAAAGACACTCGGAAAAAACCCGAACTGGGACAATCCAACCAGACTTGATCCATCATGTGAGGCAAACAAGTGAGTAACACACGTCCACCCGCGTGCACATTCTCATATGTTTCGATCACCACCTTTTTTTGCCACTTTGCCAACCACTTTAGTGGAGGAGGAAACGAATCGAATACAGGTTAAGAAGGTTAGGTTTGCTGGTAGGATATTTGAGATTCAAATTGACCCTAAGTCCAGTAAGCAGCGACTGAAAGCTGCCCAAGAACAAACAGAAATCGACGACATCAATGCGGCGTTGAAAGACTCCAATGTGCAGCAGGTATCCGCCGTCTTCAAGTCGCGGGCCGATTGGCAAGAACACCTCTCTCGAGATACGGACGCCTTTAGCCTTTCGCAACACCGCAAGGGACAAGCATCGTTGCTCGGTCAGCAACGGTTCTTAGCAGAAGTGCAACAAGTCCCCATGGCCAAAAGGAGAAGACGCAGATTGTGATTAAACACGTACTTCTATTACCCACAACACGCCATAAATCGACGGGCGAATGTCAATCAAATAGCTACGCAGCAACAACCCGAATTTGATATTAGCAATGTCCATCTTCATGATTCTTTACTTTCTCCCTCCAGCACCCATGCCGTCCGGCTATCCTAGCTCTTGACCCACTTTCTATTCTCTTCTTTCTATTCTCTTCTTACCCGAAACCCGAGTGTAATCGAGTCCGTCCGTCCGTCCCCTTCTGGAGTGGCTGGTCCACGCCCTGACTAAGGCCTGGATTGCATGTACCCAGTATCCAAAAGGGTATTCAAACTAGCTAACTAAGTGCCTGGCATCGACCCCCAGCGTTGAGTGGGCCGGTGTCGAGTCGACCGGTATCTGGTCAGATCGGTAAATGGTCCTCGCAGTAAGTAAAGTGAACGAGTCGCTAAAGGCCAGGTGGCAAGCTGTGGCGGTCGCGGGCGGATCTGGATGTCTCGACCCGGCAAATGTTGGGCTTTTGATTGGCGTCTCGACCGAGTGCGTCTCGACCGAGTCTGTCTGGACCAAGGGCGCGGGCGTCGACGGAGGAGTTGACACAGCGTTCGAGAACTTGGCAGGCGGGTGCGCTGAAGACGTGACAGGTTAGGCTGGCGGCTGCGAGGATGAGACTGAAGGCACCAAGTGTGTGTGTGCTACCGTGCACACACGTGTGCAATTCGGCGTTAGCGTCTAGACAGGCAGGTTGACCCGTACGGGCGCTCCAGAGAGCAAGAGCGCTAAGCACAGATAGAGTGGAGAGGAGCGAAAGCAGCGTGGTAGTGCCTTCTAGTAGACTGACGAAGCAGTACTGGCGCCGGTTACCCTTCTTTACTTCAATGTGTAACAGCGGCAACAAAGCATGCAGCGGCCTCCACCAAGTCCGAGAAGCCACTCGCTCCAATGTGTTCTCGCCCAAAACCGTTATCTGTGCCGCGCTCTTGCACCGCTTCCCTCGCGGACACTTTCGTTGTCCAGCTCGCGAAATAACTCCTCCACACAGACCACCACCTGCGGACACTGATTGACTGCCCTGCATATCAATCGGGATCCACTCCTCCGACGGCATCAGAAACGATGGCAATGCCAACCCCGAGTCGTCCAACTCTGCTTCATGAGACCCACCCGCGTCCAGGCCACAGTCCAGTCCGTGGTCGTGGAGACCACACTGAACGTCTGGTGCACGCTGTGATTCAGGGCCAGCCTCTTGAGAATCTCCGGCACCCGCCCGGCCCATCACTGGATCGGCGACCAGGCACAACGGGTCGGAAACCATCAAGTCCGATGTCAGCTGGCTGGACGGCTCCTCGCCAGAAGCCAAAGGTCCCTGCGTGTCGGTAGTGGTGGCCACTTGGTTCAGAACCGAAGTACCTCTTCGTCCCGTCGGAAGTGCGGCCGTGGAATATCCAGCGGGTTGTCCGGTCACACCACCAACCATGGGGTGGCCCCCGATCATCGGGTGGCCCCCGATCATCGGGTGGCCCAGTCCCGCATTTGTTGACAGTCGACGACTGCGACCTGGACTCATGGACTGCGAGTGAGTCGCGCGTTGCTTGGGCAGGAGTAAGTCAGGTACTTTGTTCGTTGTACCCGTATCATTCGACAAGACACGGTTAGGTAAGGCCTGGCTGGTCAACACGCTGCTAGTCAACGCTCGATCGCACCTGAGTTCATCGTGCGAGGGTTCCTCCACGGGCGCCGTGGCGAACTCGTAGGCGGCGTTCCCGTTTTCGCGGAAGGGCTTGGAAACAATGTGGCAGAGAGAGATGAACCATTCGACGAGGAGGAAGAAGAGTGCGAAGTGGAGTAGTATCCGTACCCAAAGGCCAGCGGTTCGAAGCGCGGGTATGTATCTGCAGTCTACATCTCGGAAGGTGGGGCCATACAATATGTCGTAGACGGCGAGTCTGTAGGCACGATCGCGATTAACACGGGCAATGTCGAGATAGTTATCTTCACCCAGAAGCGACTTAGCGCGCTCCATGTGCCGTTCCGTGTCACAGTAGCTGCTACGGCCGAGAACGGCACTGTATGGAATGGGCAGTTCATGCACGGTAGCGGCCCCCTGGAGGCCCTGAGTACGAATGACGCGCTCCACGGCAGAAAGCGAAAGCAGCGTACGACTAGAGCCATCTTCATGAACCTGGTACTCGTTGTGGCGCCAGTCTGGGCCTTGTGCTGCACGCATTATCACGAAGACTAAAATTGGTAACCAGACAACCACCCGGAAATAATTCAACAAAACTACCGGATGTCGCGCCATTACCGCCCAACGGCGACCCAGACTCTCGCCAGCCTTCCTTGCCCCCGGTCTTCGCAACCGACCGTTCCGCACCCGGCTGGTCTTGCTCACCGTTTGCACACCTTCTCGCACACCTTCTCGCTCACCACCAGTCTCACGACCAAGCGTCGAATACTCCTCCGCTCCCACGTCATCACCTCGGTGGTTCCCCGGGTAGTTCCCCGGGTAGTTCCCCGGGTGGTTCCCCGGGTGGTTCCCCGGGTGATCGCCCATCAGTGTCTTACGCACCTTCAACAACGCGTCGCCACTCACCGCTGTCCGCTTGAACGACGAACTCGCGCAACCAGGACGCTGGTTCGGTGGACTGCTGCCCGGTCGCCGCGTCAAGATCGCTTGGGACACCATATCATCAAATGGGTTCAACGGCCGGTGATGCACCGGCGACCCTGCCAACATGTTTCAGCGGTGCATTACTGTGTAGTACTGGGTGTGTGGTATTGGGTGTGAGGTATTGGGTGTGAGGTATGTGTACAGCGGGATGTCGGATTCCAGGGGTGATGCATACTGGATTGAATACTACCGTTATGTGGTGTACCCTCTACCAGCTGTACATCTGACCAGACTGGCCTCATGGAAGGAAAGCTTTCTGTAGCTGAATCGTTACTTGAAAAAGGGCGGCTGGGAATTGGTAGTTCCATGCATCTCCGATCTATAGATCCCCTGCCCACAATTTTGCAAAAAGTTACTCAAACTTTAACTTGGATTCCGGCAACTCCAACCATGGAAGCAATATCAATAAAATTGCACTACCAACTATCATCATACCGATACTCAAATAGTACGGATACGCGGCTCTGAAAAATAACAGGGGTGTGTCTATGTGTGTAGCACAGTCTATGTGTGGCACAGTCTATGGTGTGTGGCACAGTCTATGGTGTGTGGCACAGTCTATGGTGTGTAGCACAGTCTACGGTGTGTGGCACAGCGTGTTATGATTAATTACATGATATGCTTAGGTTGTTCTTCGTTATGTTTGTAAGTCCTGAGAGGCATCAGTGTCTCGATCCAAAGGGGTGTATTTAAGTGTTGGTTAGATTGCCTAATAATGAGCTTGAACACTCCATGCTGAACTGGTGCCTTAAAATGAATCCAGCGACTTACACCAGGGGTCATGACATGATTTAATTCTCCGGTTTTGGAAATTTTTGTCATTAATCGTGTGTGCTGGGAACTTGGATTTCCATAAAGGTCAAATGTCTGACGTACATAGGGTACCATCATATTGTATTGACCATATACTTCGTCCTCCGGATCGGCCCCTTTCCATGCAAAAACATTTCGATCGGTCTCTTGTAATTCGTAGTAGTCAAAACCAATGACCAACTCATCCCTAATTGTATATACACGACGGCTTTCCAAGTGCAACGGTGAATACTCAACATCAGATTTCTCCTCCAGTAGTTCAGACTCCTTGAAGCGAGATGCTGTATTGTTCTCTATGGGCCCATGTTCATTGTCTGACGATTTACCATAGGTTACACGAGCTCTAATCAACGTTCCAGTATTACCACCCATCTCCAAGTAACGATTAGGAATGGGTAGTCCGGTAAATTCATGAAATTCCTGTCCTTCCTTAACCTTAAAATGCTGCAAATTAGACCACGTTTTAATATCACGCCGATGGAAAATCCAGTCCATAAAATGCAAACAGCCGATATCAAGTTCTGACCCACCAGAACACATAAGTTCATCGGTTAAATACCCAAGTCTCGACCAGCTAAAATCTCCTTGAATAATGAAGCCCGAACCTTCCTCTAGGATAGAACGCGCAAATTCATTTTTCCGACCTTCTATGAAACCTGTCGATACTGATCCACGATACTCGAAACCGAATGTGTTTGTCGAAGCTACCTGTAAGTTAAGAGACACCTCCTCTGTAGACCGCTGGGAGCACCTCTCAATACCGAACTCCCTCATATCCTGACACCCGATAACGAGCAAAGAAGGCGGCAATAGAAGGTTACCAACGTCGCTCTTATAGCGTTCATCGTAACTCTTAGGAAGCGTCCATCGGAGATCATAAAAGGTAGTAATACCATTCATGACTAAAAGAAACTTGTCCAACCTTACCCCCTTCCCCGGTGTCCACATCATGCGCAGGTCCACATCATGCGCAGGTCCACATCGTGCGCAGGTCCATATCATGCGCAGGTGTGTTCCTACTTCGACGATCAATGGTGCCGCTACCAAGAATGACCACCGAGTCATAGTTGTAGTAGCCGTTTCTTGATAACCGTGTATTGTTGTTATAGAGAGTGATGTCATGGTTTCGTTCTCTCAATGACTTCAGTAGGCTGGGATACATTTCGCTCTTGCCAAATACGAGCGTCTTTCGGCCTTCATTCAAGTTCTCAAGGAACAACTCACTGGGCCGTCGGGGATTCTCTTCATCCAAATACACTCGTGTTTGCTCCACGGCACCAAGACCCCATCCCAAGGTAAAGAACGTAGCCAACAATGTCCACCGAATCCCCCACATTTTTTACCACGGAATAGGTAAGCATCCGGAAATGCACCCACCGGACAGGCACCCCAGTCCCCTATTACAGGCACCCAGTTAATTACAGCCCCCCCCCCCGTTACAGTCTCATTGTTGTATAGACGTTCATGCGGCCCTTATTACTTTGGTCTCTGCTTATCTCCATTGCACCCCCAGTGCTGGCACAAATTCTACCTGTACTCGGAGTGGACTTGGGTAATGAGTATTCCAAGGTTGCAGTCACCGCACCTGGACACAAGATGAGCATGGTCTTGAATCACCAAAGCCAACGGAAGAGTCGAACAGTTTTGAATCTGAGCGGCACCACTCGTTCCTTTGGAGAACAAGCCTACACACAACAGACTATGAGTCCTGGTTATGTATTTCAGTATTTCGCCAACAAGTACAGTCAGCCCTTCTCCGTGCTAAACGATGGACTGAACGTATTTGGACTACCAACCAGGTACTACCCATATCAGACGGACAAGGAAGGCCAGGTACAGGTAAGTGAGACTGAGTCGATCGGTGGCGGAGAGCTTACGCTGCATTACTTGTCGCATATTCGTGACTTGACTCGGGATTTTCTCAAGGACGACACGATAAATTCAAACGACGCCGAAGTTGTATACGCCGTACCTGTCAACTTTGATTACCGTCAACGCCAACATTTGCTCCAGCTGAGCTCCTCCGTTGGATATCGCACACTGGGCATGATCCCAGCGCCCATGGCGGCGGCTCTCGCCCATTCTCTAGACATGGCGCATGATAAGAAGCCTGTCACCAAGCTCTTCCTGGACGTGGGAGCCGCTACTCTGCAAGCCTGTGCAGCAGAATTCAAACTTGTTCCGGCCAACAACGTAACCAAGTCGCTAGCGGGCGCGCCAAAGGAAGTCGTCAGTGTCAGACAATTGGGCTGCTACCATGTCGATGGTCGCGATCTAGACGTCAAGAAGACTGGGAATGCATTCATTGGGGGAGCCCACGACCTGGATATCATGTTGGCTGACCATATCGTGTCCGAATTTTGCAAAGCCAATGGCATCGCCTCCTCGGACCAAATACCACCCAGGGCCATGCGTCGGGTTCTCAAGGAAGCAGTGAAGGCGAAGCACAATCTGTCCATCGCACCCGTGACCCGCGTTTTCATCGAGAACTTGTTCGACAACAAGGACGCGCAACTCACCGTCAAGAGAGAAACATTCGAGTCAATGATGAACCAATCTGGATGGTCAACTCTATTGGCCAAACTTGTCTCCAAGGTGAAGAAGGACACGCCCATCAAGAAGGGAATGGAAATAGAATTGCTAGGAGGCGGCTGGAGAGCACCTTGCATCTCCAACAAAATCGCTGAACTGGTCAAGCCGGGCTCCATATCCACTAAGTGCAATTCCGACGAAGGAATCAGTGTGGGCGCCAGTATTGTTGCAACCAACTACAGCTCCGTATACAAATTCAGACCCCTTTATTTCAGCCTCGCCTCTCCGGAAACACTCAAAGTCAAAATCCAGTACGGTCCCAGCGCAGCCACTGGTAAGGAAGGCGAAATTGTCACCGTCATCCCCAAAGGATCCGTCCCTGGTTCGGAATTTAGTAGCTCTTTCTCCCTTAGCGCCGAATCAGTCCCCAGCACACGCGTGTTTGTCGAAGATGATTCAGGCAAACTGCTATCCGCTTTTAATATCAACGGCTACGATACCCTCAATAAGATGAGAGAACGGAATATTAAGAACTATCAGGATAAGAAGGCCATATATGAGCAAGAAACGCTTCTGAAGAACGCGACAGATCCTGCTGCTGTACCTAAAAATCATACCTGGACAGAGAATTTTGTTAAGTGGCCACCGAGCAGCTTTAACGTAACCTTGAAATACCAACTTGACATGACTGGTGTAGTGTCTATTTCGCAAGTCTCTGCCGGCTGGATCGATCTTTCCGTATCAGAGACAACAAGGCTCGAAAAAATAGAGCGGGGAGAGGAGGAAAAACGTGAGGCGGAGAAACCTACTGAGGAAAAACCCAGTGATCAGAAACCCACAGAGGCGAAACCCACAGAGGCGAAATCCGCTGAGGAGAAATCAAGTGAGGAGAAATCGAGTGAGCACAAAGTAAAGGGCGAAAAGTCGGACGAACAATCTGGCGAAAAGTCTACAGCAGAGGAGGAGGTTGGTTCTGATTCGACGCAAGGAGAGAAAGAGACTGAGTCTTCAACGGTTACTTTGTATGACTGGATTGCGAAGGATGTGCGTCGAAATCGCAAGTTGATCCCGGTCGCTGTAGACATTGCTGCTGCGGATTCGTCGCTGTCCAACGCTGACCGCGGCCGCTTGCGCCTTCCCGTGACGCAGACGGACCGAGAGGTACGGAAGCAGAAGGATCGGTTGAATCGATCAATCGAGAAGGACCAAGAGGCGTTGAAGTTGGAGGAGAGTCGTAACAAGCTGGAGTCCTTAATTTATGAGACCCGGTCGAAGTTGAGGGATTCCGTCAACTTTTCGATTCCGAAACAGGAGGCTGAGGGAATGGAGACGATTGAGGAGGTTGTGAAACTGTTGGACGCTGATGAAGAGTGGTTGTACAGCGATGGTTTCAATGCTACTCTATCGATCATCAAGAAGAAGCTTTCTGAGGTAGGCACACGAGGGAAAAAAAGATTGGATTGGATCAGGTCATATGAGAAAGGCGGTAAATTACTGAGGCAGTATGAGTCTGAAATCAAGAGCATGACTAATAGGCTGAGTAAACTATGGGAAACAAAGCCTTGGCTTACTTCTGAAAACCGAACCATAGCGAATACAGCTTTAGACCAATTTATTGAATGGTTCAACGAGTTCAAAAACGACACCGCCAGCAAGTCTGCCTATGCTCTAGTCAACGAAATGGACCTCTCTACGAAATGGAAAGATACAGTTTTGAAGTCTTTTAATACAGTCAGAAGAATTCCCAAACCGAAGGACAATATTAAGGACAACAAGACGATTGGTGATGGTAAGACGATTGGCGATGGTAAGACGATTGGTGATGGTAAGACGATTGGCGAAGATCAGAGCGACAGGCAGACCAATAAAGACGAAGGGGACAAACGGGGTGAGCTCTAAGTTTTTTTAGAAGTGGTTTTTGGCGCGAACGAACTCGGAGGAGTCTGACCAGGGGTCCAGACGATGGCCAGTATGGACTATGAACACACCCCCGACAGTCTAATGGGCATCCAACAGTTGGGCAGTGAAGCGATTGGGATTATTGCTGGTAGTAGTGTTTCCGCTAATGTGACTGATGTGATAGCGGCAAAGACGTCTGGGGACGAAGAACAGCCGATCAGCGTGAGTGACCAGCGGCAACGGCTACGAGAGGTTGAGTTGCGGTTGCAGAGTGAAGCGAGCAAGGCCGCTAAGGTCGCAAGCAGCGGTAGTTTGTGGAAGAAGGCGGAACGGGAGGTGAAAAATCTCTTTTCCAGCGGCGAGACGACGACCGACGCGGAGGCGGAGAAGCGCTACTTGCGCAATATTGTGGCCGACCAGCACGTCTATAAGTCCGATGGAGCGCTACCTGACCCACTGACTGAGGCCTCACTATGCAACGCACCCTTTCTGGACCTGGGCATCGAGTACTGCGACCCCGACCACTTGAACGGGAATACAGACGCCGTCGCGCATCTCGCCCAACTATCCGCCGTCTTTCAAAATCTTGAAAGGATAAATACACATTCTTTGACCACGCCCTGCAATCCTAATACATCTGTTAAACTCGGAATCGCCGTGGCCGGACCCACTTTGCCCGTCAGCTTCCCGGACTGTCTAGCTGCCACCTGGGAAACCTGGAAATTAGGTCACTTCGACCATAACGGCCAGAAACTGTCATCGGAGTACGACTAGTCCCCTCCCCCGACAGGAGTTCCCAGTCTCAGTTCTCCGCCTTTAGATGTGACGAGAGCCTGCTGTTGGGCGTCAGGTTGTTGGACGACGGGTCTGTGGACATTGAAGGGAAGATGGGCGACAGTGTGCGCAAGATAATCTCACCCACCTTGTTGCGTAAGATTGGCCAAGTAGTGTCTTCGAACGTAGCCGGTAAGAGTGTTAAGACGAAGCCGCTTCTGGCTCTTACCGAGATGGTTGATTTCGTGCAAATGGCCATTGCCAAGGAAGTACAGTCGCCCAGACAGGCGGCCCAGGCCTGGGTCATTGGCGGTATCTTCGTTGTCATGGTCTCTCTCTTTACCGCTGCCGTACTGTGAGCCCCACCCACATTAGTCCTTATCAAACCACATTAATCCGCACCCGGTTGGACTAACTAAAGCCCCGGGTGGCGACCCCGGTCTTATAAACACACACGTGTGCTCATGTTGCAGGGTGGCCTTACAGCGCATCAGTGAACACATGGTGGTCCAGACGCGCAAGCCGAAGCGACGGCGTGCGCGTCGGCACAACCGCAGCACCTCTCGGCCAGACGCCACGTTCAACGAAAGCAGTATGAGTTTGGAGGCTCGTCGGGGCCCGCGAGTGGACACTCAGCAACCCGACCCTTCAACAGGCGAAGTCGTCTGAACCATACATGCCATCGTCTACAAGTTGGACCCTTTCCCCTGACACGAAACCGCCATGTGAGCAGAACACAGTATCAATGGATAAATCCCAACGAATGACCCCAACCCCCGAATGAATGACCCCAACCATCATGTCCACGACCGCGGGCCACATACCTGGCATGGTTGCTCACTACACACCACCGTGATCGCGACTACACATTTGGGCGTACTGAACGTTGGTAATGGTTGCTGGAGATTCAAAAATCGATTTTGCAAAAACAATTGTCGAGTTTTGTCCAGGATCAACTTAATGCTTCTCGAACCCAATAGCCTTAGCGTTCTCACGGAAGCACTGACGGCAAAGCATCAAGTCGTATTTGCGGATGACGGCTTGTCTATTGGAGCATCGGCGGCTAAAAGATAAATGTGAAATCGGCGTGGACAAACTGGGTAAGAATGAGGGGTAGGAATGTGGTATAATTGAATAACGGGGGACGTGGTTACCATCTGCGGTTGCCTTGGCAAGAGCGTGGGGTCTTCGCCGTCTGAATGCCCATGTTTTCGCAAAAAAAACTTTCGGCGCTCTCTTTGTCGTAAGGAAACGACGGCGGCCGCACACACTTTTTGGTACTGCTTGGGAGCAGCGAACCACGGGCATCGCTTCCTGCCTGCTCGCTGTGCTTGTCCTTCCCCGAGAGGGACCTGAGTTGGGTTGTCTACAGCCGACCGACCGACCGACCGACAGATATTTCTTTACATCAGTGCCCGACGCCTCCTGTCCTAAAGATCCATCCCTGCCTTGCAGTAATGTCAATATTACAGCAGTGTCGATTACGGTCGCAGATTCAATTTAGCTATCCACTTCTTCTGTTCTGGTACTATCTAACTATTATGGTGTAGCTATTTACCTGTATAAGTTAGTGGTGGGTCCAGTTGAAGGCGGGCCTGTGCCGTTTAGAGGGCTGAGGCGCGGCGCGGCCGGCTGTCTTCGGAGCTGAGGTCTTCGAGGATGGTGGGTAGCCCGCTTCTGCGTGCGTCGAGGAGGAGGCGGTGAGGTTGCACGGGACGTAGGGGCCTGGCTGCGGCGTTGGCCATGCCGAGGTTTTGTGCGCGTGTCTCGGCGAAGAGTTGTTCGGTCAATTCATCGGGGTCGATGTCGGTCTCTGGGAGGACGAGGTCGTCAAGTAGAGCGGCGTCCTCCTCACCATCACCGGAGGCGCGCGCGCCCATCTGGACTACTTCTGAGACGTCAACGCCTAGCGTCTGAGCCAGTGCCGTAACTTCCTCCAAGTTGTCGAAATCCGTCTCCTCAATCACCTCCAACACGTGCCTCTGGTATGACGCTAAAAAGTCGAACTCGTCGCGAGCGACGTGGTCCGAGGCCCGGCCACCATGTCCTTGGCTCTGGCCTTGGCTCTGGCCTTGGCTCTGGCCCTGGCTCTGGCCTTGGCTGTGACTCTGACCGCTGGGGGCACGGGTCTGGCCTCCAATCTGGACTCCAGTCTGGACTTGGTTTTGCGTCCCACGGACCTGTTGCCCAGACTTGGGTTGATTGCCAGTAGACCGGCCTTCGAACGCCGGCGGTTGGTAATTGCCAGTGGGAAGAGGTGTGGGCATCTTGTAGGCGAGACTGGGGCCACCAAGACCAGCGGTGAGTGCTCTGTGGGCCTCGGCGGTGGCAGCATTGGCAGCGGGATTGCCAGTTTTGCGGAGTGCTAAAGTCTTAACATGGTTGACAAGTAAGACCCATTCATAGACGGAGCAGAGGCCAGAGAAGAGGCTGAGTACGAGCATGCCGAGATGTACGATTTCGAATGCGCGTAGGCCGAAGAGGAAGGGTGTATAGTAGCGTTCCTCGTTCAGTTCGTCGACGATGAAGGGGAAGCCGAGTGCCTCCATGAGGAAGGGATGTGCGTAGCCCCAGGCGCCGCCGAGTAGCATGTGGAGGCCTTGGAGGTTGTTAACACTTGTCTTCCCAAAGTAGTCCGACAGGCCGATGAACAGGTAGCTGTACATGATCGAGCCCCAGATCCAGAAGGAGAATACAGTCACCCACTGGACATACACGTTCGGGATGCATAGACAAGCCTGTGAAATTATGGAAGTCACCGCCATGATGCCACCCAAAAGCCAGCACGAGATGTGCGAGGACACACGCGCCAAGTACGTTGCCGGAATCCAAGCCAGAGCGTTGGCCACATTCAATGCTTCAATGACCATCTCAGCGTGTTCAGCCGGGACGTCGCTCAACAGTGCGTACTCGTGCACCGTGAAACGGAAGGTAGATAGAATGTGATATTTGCGTAGGATGGATGATCCGAATGCGAAACCGAGAGTCCAGAAGAGCGGATGGACGGCCTGTTCGATGAGTGTGAGATGGGAGAGCAAGAACTCCTTGTTGGTATCGCAGAAGAGTTTGACTTTCATTTTCTGGAGAACTCTCCATTTGGCCATTTTCGCGGAGTAGACCTTCACACGTTGCGGCATACCTTCAACCTGTGCCTTGAATTGAGGCGAAACAGAGTCTCCGAACGGTTTGGATGGGATAGTAAGTAGGTGGATGAAGCTGAGGAACATGACGAGGCCGACATAGATTTGGACAGCGGCAAAGACTGCCTGGGAATTGGGTTCCTCAAAAGTGTACCCCAACATTCTGAGTGCAAATACGACAATGAACGGTGCCAGTGTACTCGTATCCGGAGCGGCAGCCAACACGTCGTACACCATTTCCGAGCTGGCCGAAAATAAGCTTGTAATAGATACATGAGCGTTAAAGCTGGAACTGAAGGTCGTCGCAATCAACATGATCCCCGCCGTGTTCATCAACGGTGTCTCCGCCATGAATAGCAACACATGTCCAGCCACAAAGGTCGCCATGGCCCACATTCCATTCACGCGCGGCGTGTCATAGTTGCAAAAACTGGCAATTATAAATGAAGATGCTGTAGCTGTCGCAAACCCGCGATTCACTATGCTCTCGATGTGCTGCTTCTGAACAAACGTGTTCTCACTCGTCGCTCCTGCCGTATCATTCCACACTAACAGACGGCGAATCAGATCCGGACAACCCACAGTATATGATGTCAAGCACAACATAAAACTGTACCATACCAACAACGTCCACCGGTTCAGATTAAACGGAGTACTGTACTGTCGTCGAGCACTTGCCATCCCGTTCACACACACTGCACCAGACACACACACGATACTCATCTTAAGCTTGGCGCACCCCGCCCGCCACCAACTCACCCTCGATCTCCCGGAAGTCCAGAGACCACCACACCTACCCCTAACGCTCACCTCCTAAAACGCTCACCTCCTAAAACGCTCACCTCCTGTAACGCTCACCTCCTGTAACGCTCACCTCCTGTAATGCTGACTTTCCGGCTGTGACCCATTTTTCATTTTGTACATAGTCTTAGCTATCTCCGCTAAAATCGCTGTCTGACTCATCGGGCCATGGAGGCCACTGCCGGTTCTTCGGTGGCCTCGCTCGCTCCTTGGAGCCCGTCCGTGTTGGCTGAACCTCGCTTTTGACCACGTGGTTTTTGACCACATCGTTTTTGACCGGCTCACCTGGCGCAGAACCGAGACTCTCGAGCTGCGGACCGGCGGCAGACAGACTCTGTTTTTGAGGTACCCGGTTGTTGAAGCCACCCGGCTTCTGCGACCCTTTCGCCGCATCCCCACTTTCCACAGAGGATAAACTGCCCGTCGAGACCGGCAAGTCTCCCAGCAACAAGGAGGGGTACGGCTCCATCTTTTGCGGCGACCAACCTTCACCCAGGTTCGTCTGCGTCCCCTTCTCACTTGCCATTGCGCTCACCCGAGGAATTGTAAGCATCATGTCGCACTAACGTGAAGAGGGAGGTAGAGAGGGGAGAGGAGGAAGGTACTTACGAATACCCTCGGCCCGTTGACTTTATCTCGCAGCATGTTACGACTCGTAACCTTCTTGTATCTAACTTCCATTGGAAATTGGGCAGGCAGAAGCGATGGATCCAAACAGTCCAATTCTCCGAGTGTGAGCAGACACTCCCCTTCTATTGTGTCCTCCCTCTACAAAAGTGAAGTCGGTCAGCGGACGTAGGTCACCCTCAAAGTGGGGTTGATGCAACCGGTGGTTGAAGCATGATGTGGCTGTTTTACGAATTTGTGTTTTTGCCAGAGAGTGATTCTGACGAAACTGCGTAGAGGGTGGAACTTGTCGAATTCGAATGTGCATCGGAACATGGTAGAGTCATACCAGCCTGAGCGGTGGGCGAGTTTGTCGTCGACTGCGATTTCAACGCAGTAGAGGTTATTGAGTTTGACGTTGATGATATGAGATATGAAGATGCTGAGGTTTTGTCGCATGTAGAATCGGAATGGCCTGCTCCCGATATTGCACACGTGCCGGAATTTTGACATGGTCAGTAACCAGTCTCCGGCTTCTTCCGGGGACCTGACCGTTTCTGAAGTATAATCCGTCTCGGCTACAGCACGTCCCGGCTCCATGGAGGACGAGGAGGAGGGAGTCCGTCTGCCAACCGTCGGACCGGGGATCGCGTTGGAGCTGGCCGCGCGCACTCGTCCGCAAGGTTCAGAACCGCAGGACAGCATTGACGCGCGCCTCCCGCCATCGTGACCAAGTCCAGTCGGGATTCGGGACGCAGAACACTCGCGACCCACCGACTGGTGGCCGCAGGTTTTTTGCTGCACCACGGGCGGTGTCAGACCTGCCGCAGGGTTATGCATGTTGTTATGTCCAAACGTAGGTTGGTGCGCCAAGGCATGGTGGTACCCGGACACTGGCATTCCAGGAGTTCCGCACGCGGCGGAACCAGACTGCTCGGCCCGGTGGACGTGTATGCGCTCGGCTGCACTCGCAGCGGCACCGCCTCTGTGACCTGAAGCCCCAACACCATGCAGCCCCTTGGCCGTACCCCCTTTGGCGGCACCACCCTTCGCCATACCCCCCGCGGCCATACCCCCCGCGGCCATACCCCCCGCGGCCATACCCCCCGCGGCCATGCTCCTCGGGGTCATACCCCCGCCGGGGGGAACACCGCCGGGGGGGTTCAGAGCGCGACCGTTCAACTCGTAATCGTTCAGTGCACACACGTGTGTCTGGTACTCCACATACTGCTTGTTCTGTAGAGAACCCGGCGTCGT